CCCACACATTGACCAACAAAAATGGTGGACTATCTTATTTTTAATAATTATACGGGGTCAAGGTGCCACAAAAAGTATAATTTTAGAGTTTTTTAACAATTACTTCGCCGTATTTCGGCCAATTTACATGGGATTTGCTACACAGATACATTTTTACAGGTCCCAAAGAAAGATTTAGATAATTTTGGTACTTTTTTCTTTTGCTCAATTTCTCAACGAGGAAATCATAATTTAGGATTTCCGTGAACTATTCATGTGTTTTTCAACCAACGTATATGGAAATATGGTACTAAGATACCTTCTTGCAAGTCCCAAGCAGTGATATAGACAGTTTTTCGATTTTTTCTGGTGTCCAAATTATACATGTTGGGATTGCGTGGTGGAGACATTTTGCATTCGCCCGCGAATGTTGACCTCTTTAATTTAATATGATTAGATAATGTGCAAATATTTAAACAAATGTTAAAAACGCTTAAGGTATTAGCAGTTATGCAGAGGTTTAATATTAGCAGTTCTGTTAAGTACAAGTTCTAAGAATGTATTTTACATTATATTTATACTGTTATATTATTTATAACCTATGATATGGTGCGTCAGGGACCTGCTTGTTGCTCATACTACCCACTGTCTTTGTTGGTGGATTCTTTTAACGTAAAACTACACAATGGACTACCTGCGCTTTGTCCAACGCGGGGAATTGAACCCCGGAGTTTAACATTGTAAACTCGGAGACTGATCCCTGACCCACTGAGAGAGACTACTCAGTGGAAGTCATGACTCCAGATCATCTTTTAATCCAATAACATGATTTTCTGATGATATCTGTAAGTTAGATTTACCTTTCAGGATTGATGTTGTTTTTTCTATAGAATAAAATTCAACAGAACCAATTTACCTCCCTTTCATCGAACGGAAAGCTGGAATCTTTGCAAGACTCTAAAAATTACTATGATAATTCTCTGTATCTCATCTCAAACAGGTTTGATAACTAAGAAGAAAGCTCTTATCTGTCGATATGCATTACCCACTCAGCATCCAAAGAATGTCGTTTCACAATGAATTTTAATAATTTCATTTCTATACATAATCAGAAGTTTTCATTACTTCTTTGAGTAGAAATAGTAAGATAATTTACAATGTCTAGATTGATTAAAGATACATTAGCGAATATGTTTTATCTACTGTAGGTACTGAAAGTCAACGATATTTTTCAAAAAGAAAAAGTTTACCAGAAATCATTTTAAGATATTGAAAAGCTAGAGAGTCTCTGTGAAATAGTAGTTGAATATCTATTACCTTTATATGAAGTTATTCATTGCCAGCTGATATATAAATAGCTTATTGTTTAAAAACTTTATGCGGTGACAACAGAATGAAATTTTAAGCTAGTATTCGTTACCTGTGTTTTTAAGTTTTGCCCGCATTAAAAACCGAGGATACCTGCTAGTTAGAATGGCCAGATTGTAATTCCAAAGGTTCATGGTTTTTGTCCCGTTGCCCATACATTTGCTTCATACTTTGGAGCCGTGGGTACGCTATAAAAACGACAGTCAATTTCACTTATCGATCAAAGTATCCCAATATTTAGTGGGTGGTACTGTTGACTAGTTGCCCTCCCTCCGGCCCGACATGGCCAGGTGGTTAGGGCGCTCGACTCGCAATCTGAGGGTCGCGGGTTCGAATTCCCGTCCCACCAAACATGCTCGCTCTTTTAGCCGTGGGTCGTTATAATGTGACGATCAAGCCCACTATTCGTTGGTAAAAGAGTAGCCCAAGAGTTGGCGGTGGGTGATGTTGACTAGCTGTCTTCCCTCTAGTCTTACACTGCTAAATTAGGGACGGCTAGCGCAGATAGCCCTCGTGTAGCTTTGCGCGAAATTCAAAAACAAACAAAAAACAAACAAGCCCTCCCTCCAGTCTATCAGGTCAAAATTATGGACGTATAGTGGAGATAGCCCTTATGTAGGTTTGCACGAAATTCTGATATAAAACAAACAAAATGTATGTGTGATCCAAAAAATGAATATGAAGCCCAGTATATCATTCGATTCGTTTTTTGTCACTGGGCGTATGTTTGCTATTAGTTCAAGTTAATTTATATCCTTTAGTAACATGTAGGAGTTTCGAAACTTGTCACAAAATTATAAAGGTTTCCCCTCTTTAGGGCAGAACCCCACCCGATTTTTTCTACACAGGGTACAACATTTAATATTATTCATTGATTAAAGCGTATATATATACTTTTAAATGTATATACATAGCTACATTTTTTATTTTGTTTTGCACACGCAAACTTATCATCAACGTGTTGTATTCTATTAATCACAATTAAGCTTGATGTCTCAGGTACTTAACTCTTATTTAGCCGAAACCTGAATCAAATGTTAAAACTGTTTTACAGCAAGGGCATTATGTCAAATGGTTATGTTTTACAGCAAGGGCATTATGTCAAATGGTTATGTTTTACAGCAAGGGCATTATGTCAAATGGTTATGTTTTACAGCAAGGGCATTATGTCAAATGGTTACACTTAGTCGCATCTTAACATGCATTTTTATATGTACAGCCAACGATGTTAATTTGTTCATAATAGTATTTTATATACATATATTTCTTCTGCAAGCGTAATAATAAAGATTAGTATGGTTTTCTTTAACGAATATAAACAACTTAGAAAACAAAATGTCCTTATGGTCCCAACGTTTTGCATCAAAATTTCAAGTTGTACAACTTGTTTGTTTGTAGTTAACCACAAAGCTACACAATGGGCTACCTGTGCTCTGTCCACCACGGATATCGAAACCCGTTGTGCTATACCGCTGTGCCACTGCAGGACCAAATACAAACTTTCCACATGAGTTTGTAATTACATTTTTAGAGTGTAACATTTTGACCATAGTATTACTGCATGTAAGTCACAGTGCAAAACTATATTACTACCATACAACATATTTTAACTATAATATGCCTCGAATTATCATGCAAAAGTTGTAATTAGATCATTAACGTCTTATACTGGGAAATTACTTGATAGTATCAGGGAGCGCAGTAGCGATCCGTATGTAGTGATATGTTCGGTTAAAAAATGGCGGCCTGTACATTGCGTATGGACGTCAACGAAACCTAATCAAAGGGATAGAGATGAAAATTTCTTTACTGATAAAGTACAATACTGCCTCTAAAGTTCGGCTAACCTTCTTTGACGTCTAGAAAACTGGTTGTTAAAACATTGATTTTCTTATTTTTTCTTCTTCTCCGACAGCTATAACTCAGAAATTACAACGTGTCTACTTCCAGCCTGCATACCACAATACTTCGCTACACCCTAGGATGAGCCTTTCCTATCTAGAGCCCCAAGTCAACCACGATAGATTAGTTACAGCCCAAAATACATGCAATGGTACAGATTGTTTAATATTGCCCAATACGAATATCAATCAATAGATGGCGAGACCTGTAATGCAGAAACTAGTAAGAAAAAAATTATTCTAAAATTGTGAGATGTAGGAAGTGCAGATTTTTCCTCCCATCCGAAATGATCTCTATTTTCTGATCTTTTTTTCCGTCCCTACATCCTAACAATTTTATAATAAAATATCTTGCTATTAGTGTAATCAAATCATTAATATATTACACTGTGAAAATATTTGATAGTATTAACAGAGCATTTTCACCATGCACTATCCTGATAGTATTGTAATAATAAGATCATTGGTACGTCATACTGTAACAATCTTAATAGTATTAATAATGCACTTTCTTTTGCACTAACTTGTTGGTATTGCAACTACTTTATAAATAGAATACCGTGTAATAACTTAAGCAACCTTAATAAATACCTTTTAATCTTTTTTTCTATCTGCTTATCAAACCAGTGTGCTGAAGAAAGAATAATTCCCCATTATGAAACACTATAAATATATATTTACACAAAAATTCGTCCACAATGCTGTTCTAATGTTAAAATAATGAAATAACTGTTAATGCAAAGAAGAAGGAAACACAATCAGCAAATAGTTTGTTTAACGAGATTGGACTATGAATAAAATATGAAGGTGTGCATTAACTTGGAATAAATGTTTCTATTTTGTTCTGCTACTATCATTAACGGAGAATTCTCTAATAATAGGCCTTTTTAATAACAGTGTTCCACGTTGTTTCGTCTATTCAGATCTTAATTTTCAAACTGTTTCGTTCCATGGTAACATTCCTGATAACAAAATCATTCAGAAAGTAAAAGTTTTGCATATAAATATTTAATAGGAATATTTCCAACGTATGTACAAAAATTCGATCAGATTTCACAAGAGTACATCAGGGCGTAGCATGTCTGCAAGAAGACTCTTTACCGTTCTGTTGTGTCGTACTTAAACTTGCAATGCAGAATATTATTTGTATTCTAACTACATTTTCTAAAGAATGAACTTGTAATGCTCCTTAATGTCGATAGCGCCACTTTAATATAAATATTTCCATATATGTAGTGGAATCGAAACAACAACTTTAATTTTAACATCTAAAAGAAAATAATTGTGACACAACAATACTTAATCCTTAATATAACATCAATATAATTTAATACATAAAGTTGTTTATATCAATTCAATATATCCGTGTGATCAGAGAAATTCAGCTCACCTGAATCATTAATCTATTGTTTCTCTATGCAACTTTGAAAAATTATTCATTGGATGTCGATGATATTCACCATTATTATTATTATTCTATTATCATTACGTTAATGAGTTCTCGTGCGAATAAAGTAGATAAGCAAACAGTTCCGTTTAAATTGATGACTTGCTGTTATAAATGAAATATGAGGTGATGATTTACGTTGTAAAACCTACTTGTGTTTTATCTTCTCCTCCTAGTAACATAAAAAATTTAAATATGTAGAAAATTATAGACCTTCTTAATAATAGTGTTATATACGTGTTGTTTGTTTCATCTTCTTGGAAACAGTAACCATAGGCTTAAAGCTCTGCTTATGTATTTCATAGCAACCTGTAAAACAATGGACTATGTAAAACTTGCAGACCTACCAAGTTTTGGCCATATTGAACGAGGCTTACAACGTTGGTGCATGGAAATATCAATGTCTATCATCACAAAAAATATTACTTTTCTGTCTTGTCTAATAATACTGTCAGGACTATGTGGAATAGAAACTCAATTCGGAGGTAGGAATCATTTATACATTTTCAAGAAACAAATTTTATGTTATTTGTGTTTCAAGAAAACGTAATTGTTCTTGCTTCTTTCTTGTTAAGTAAATTGCGACTGAAGAATTTCGTTGGTTCATTTTTAAGATTCGTGTCATATTCAGTTATTATTACATTCGAAAATAACATATTGAAGTTGGTTATTTGACCAAATGAAAAACTTCTGTGAAAGCAACTGTAAATATGTATCATCCGCGTAGGAAAATTCCCAGATATGTTAAGAAACCGTTATATAATTTATGTTATAATGTTTTAATCCCTGGTCGTATTGTCAGTGAGTTGAAATAAGCACATACCGAAAAATAATCTTCTTAAAAAAATTTATAAGCGAATATTATTTTTAAAATAATAACTCAGATTTATTTCTTTTTTACTTTTAATGACCAATATGTGTTTCACCTACCTTCAACACTGTAAAAGCCGAAATTAAAAGTCCTTATTAAGATCAAAATACATGTATGTATTGGTCATTAGCCAAATTCCAGTTTTTACGTGACATTTGTTAATTATCTCACAACTAAGTTTGGCTACAGTGTAATTATTGTTTTCAGTGTAGAGAATCTATAATTAGTGATTGGAGAATAATTAACTGAAAATACCTCTGAATGGTGTTCCAGCAGATAGTGGTGAAATGACATAATAACTTTGTTTTTGTTGTAATTCCGACTTCTTTTAAAACAATATAAATGCCGATCTGTTGTTAACGAAGAACTTTAAAAGTAATCAAATTTACCATGAAAACAGTAATCGAGTAGAACACTAAAGGTAAGATAACTCTCAGTGATTAAGAGTATTTTGAAGTCCCAAGCCATGTTGGATCGTTTAAATGGCAAATTGCTTTCTGTTTTACCCACGTGGCCATCTATTTGATGATGAGGCTTTTTAAAAAAATTACCAAAGTTGTTAAATATGACATTTTAAAGTATCGTTCAACAGAGATGAATAAATTCACCTAGTGGTCAATAAGTGAAACGTTAAAAGAATCAATTGATATTTAGCACTTTATAACTTTAAACAAAAAAAATATTTTTCGGGAAACAATCTCAGAGGGCAAATTTTGTTGCGTTTGTTATACTAAGAAACCAAACTTATTGAAAAAACGAAAACCATGGATTTGTTTTCTTTCTTATGCCATCTAACATATTTCACAAGTCGAAAGCTAAATTCGTATAATTCTTGGCTCTCTAAAAGTTGCCCCCAGTGGTACAGTGGTATATCTGCGGACTTACGACATTTAAATCCGGGTTTCGATACCCGTGGTGGGCAGAGCACAGATAGCCCATTGTGTAGCTTTGTGGTTAATTACAAACAAACCCTAAAAGTTCGATTACTCTACCTATCTCCTGACATTAAAACATGCTCTCGAAAATATACTAAAATAACGAACTTAATTAATTATTTCTTATTCAGTATTCAAAACATAGTGACCGTCTAGAAAAAAAAATGACTGAAAATACTTCATTTTAGTATTTAAGAATATTAAGCAAGACTGTAGCTTTCATACAAAGTTTAGGTCAGGTTATAAAGTATTTTATCCATACTTTAACATCGTTTGAATCATATAAGGATATCAACAATACTCTTTTAACAATTGGATATGTATTATAATCTCAAATTTCACTATTTTTCTTTTTTTGGATATGAATTTTAAAGGCTCACAATAATATGCGAAGGTGAAGTATCATGAAACGTTTTATTGGTACTGAAATACTAATACATTTTGATCTACATTCATAGAATGGGCAGTAGTCAGCGATCAAGTTGGAAGTATGTACTATCAAGTTATTGGAAAGAAAGCAAAGTTTCAAGATGCATCCAACTATTGTGAATCAAATGGTTTCAAACTGGTCACGTTAACAGACCTTGAAGTCCACAAGGCCTTGAAAACACTACTTTCCAGCTCTAGCGTTGAATTTGGAGGATTATGGGTAGGATTACATGACCAACAGAAAGAAAGAGATTTTAAGTTCACGGATGGGAAACCGGCCCCATATCTATCGGAAATCTGGCTAGATGGGCAACCAGATAATGGAGGACGGCATACAGATAATTGTGCTCGTATTCAGCATGATTATAATTTACTAGCCGATATGGACTGTAATAATAACTATTTTGGAATATGTGAAGCTCCACAAATTGAGATACCAGGTACGAATTACTCATTTTACAGTTGCAGAAATAATATTTTTGTTTCTTTATAATTTACTCTAACGATTTTCTGTAGATAAGTGAGTATTGAGTCTAATAACGTAAAAAAAGTGTTTAAATAATTATTTTTTGTTGTTAAGCTCAATGTTACCACAAGGGCTATCTGTGCTGTACCCACCACTGGTATCGAAACCCAATTTTAGCGTTGAAAGCATGGAAACTGGGGGCATATGAAAGTAATATAGTGATTATATCTATTTTTGATCCTTCGTTTAGAAAATTGTAAATTTCTAATTTTTTTGGTGGAATATAGCTATTAGAAATAAAACAAAAACTATTTTTCTATTAGTGGAAATACAGATCTAGTATTTGTATACTATTATTAATGAAATAAAAAAACATCATCTAATAGGCCAAAATAAAAAATTAGTATGTTAAAAATATATTGATAATAATAGCATAACTCAATAAATTTATTTCACCGCAAAGAGAAGAAAACAAAATATGTTCTTTATAAAATGCGAACTGGAGGTACATAACATTCAGTAAAACATTATCATATCATTTAGGCAGATTTTGCTAACATATAATATTCATTTAAAAACTAATCTCTGCACATCCTACTGGGAATGGACGATACGTGAAATATCAACTTTAAATCATTAAGATTATTACCATATTTAATATAATATTACGATGAAGAGTAGCGGAGGCGCTCTGCTAGTCGAAGTCTATAATTAAAATGTTTAAATAACACAGGAATTGTACAAAAAGAAACGGAAATCTTTAACCTTTTTATTTATAATTTTGGAGTCTCTAAGAAGGTAAAACATAGACTGTTAGATTTCAAAGAAGCGGGGATTGCGAGTGAGCGTGTAGGTAGATATTCTTTAACATGAAATAATGAGTGTATCCCGAAGAACAGTGTCATTAAGGATATTGAACAATAAAACCACATCAGACATAATAGTGGTCAAAAAACACTAAGTTGACAGATCGTGACAGAGGAATGAGGCAAAAACAAAGGCCTAGAACGTCAAATTATGCGCATAACTTAGCGTTAATCTACAGTCCAGGGGTCTCCAAACCTTTTTGGACAAGGGCCGGAAGGTAGATCTTTTTAAGCTTCGCGGCCGGATGGGTCGTGGTAAAATTAAGTAGGGATGCATACATGATCAGATTGGTTTTTGCTCAATTACGTTTTATTATATTATTATTTTAATAAACTGTTGGCGAGCCGTAGTTTGGAGACCCCTGATCTACACAGACCAGTCTTTGTCAAAATTCGAATGGAATTGCAAAAGACGGATTAACTTAATAGCTCTACCGTTCATAAAACTCTAACAACACCACAAAATGGAAAATCCCGAGTAAAATGATGTCAAAACATAACAATTGTACCGAAGATTAGTGAAAGAATGTGTTCTTAGAAGCTGAATTATTATTATTTTTTTAATTAAATGGACACGTTTGGGTGGTGAAGACCAAAAGAAGCAAATAATTCTAAAACGTCTTGTACCATTAGTTAAGCATGAAGGAAGCGTGTGATGGCATGATCAAATTTATTTTAGAATCGTTCAGGGTCTATGCTCTAACTGAAAGGTAAAGTGGCAGAAAACGATTACTTAAACATTATTGCCAAATGGAGATTATTGGTTTTAGTAAGAAAATGCACCAATTCATATAAGATTGGTTCAAATAATTAGAAGAAAGAATTGGGGCACTTAACATTGCTAACACATTAACCATATTTAAGTGTTATCGAGCCATCCCCCCCCCCCGGTCGGGAAAGCTTGATTGTGTCACACACTTGTGCTTGGAATAGGCACAAAACTGTTTGTTTGTGTGTGTGTGTGTTATAAGGTTGATAGTAAGATTTACGCATTAGCTTGTATGGTTTCCTGCCTTTATTTTGGTATACCTTGTATATTTTCAAGTATTTCTGTGTGTTGTGCTTATAGTCTTATTTTATGGTATTTTCAGTTTATTTGCACAGCAGATATTCACGACATAACCTATGAATGGAAATAGTCGTTTCTGTTTAGAAACATTGTGCTACTGTATGCAGATAAGTACAATAAACGGCAAGAGTAGTTATCGGGCCCAATTGAGTGGCACGCCGTTAGAGGCCGACACACTTATGTCGACCCAGGCAATAAGGTAGTGAGAGGGTACAGATGATGACGTCGTAGTTCCACAAAATGGAATCAGATGGCATGTTACTAGGGCGCCATGATAGGCGGAATCTGTCATGTCGCCATGATAATGGAAGTTGTCCAGAAAGCGTGTTGCTAGTTTCACGAAGTGGAACCAGAGGATGCGTTGTTGGGTCACCATGATTACTTCATTATAGAGTGTCTCTACATGTGATATTACATCATCAATGTCTAGATTTAGTTATGTTCTAAAAGTTACCAGTAAAGCTATTATTTTAACAAATAATAGGAGGATAGTGTTACTAACACATTTAACGTACTGCTGAAAAGTTTTTATCACAACTAATGTTTTCATGAATATTAAAGAAAACAGCTGATTGTGTTTTTATGATTTAGTATACGTTTAATTTTACAGAGTTAAATGCTTTTTCATAATCTATAAATCCCACACATAAAGGTAAGTTGTATTCATTTGATTTTTCTATTATTTGTAAATGATCTGTTGTTGAAATATTTTTCCTAAACCCTGCTTGTTCTCTTGGTTGGTGTTTGTTCTTTCCAATATATTTTTTAGTATTCTCGTGAATAGTTTATATAATATTAAATGCTTTAGCTACAATAGGCGTCAATCTAACGTACATCGAAATCTTAAGAGATATATATACATAGATGCAACAGCAAAAATACATCTTGATAAAGAGTTATCATCAGTGATAAAGATAGAGAGAGAGAGGTGAGAAAGGGTGACCCAATATCTCTAGAACTGTTTACAGCAACTTTGCAAGAAGTATTCAGACAAACTGAGCTAGAAAATGAAGGCATAAAAATAGATGGTGGCACATTAACAGATCTAAAGTTTTCAGATGATGTAGCTCTCTTTACAAATTCAACAAAAAAGATGGAAGCCCTATTAAACAGTTTAAATACCAGTAGCAAGAAAGCGGGATTAAAAATACATAAGGGAAAAACCAAATATATGACCAACTATCATGACAAAGATACCATCAAAATTGAAAATGAAGAAGTAGAGAAAGTGTCAGAGCATAAATATTTAGGACAAACTCTCAAAATGGAAAACACAACAAGGGAATAAATTATGATAAGAATAAAGGCAACATGGCGATGTTTTGGAATGTATAAAGAAATTCTAGAGGATAAGGATATCCCCATTACTTTGAAGAAAAAGATCATGGATCAGTGTGTACTACCAGTCTTAACATATATCTGCCAAACATGAGCATTAACAAAAGACAAGGAAAACCACACAAAGAGCTATGGAAAGAAGAATACTTGATATAACACTAAAAGACAGATGGAAAAATGATAGAATAAGAAAATCAACAAATATAACAGGCGCAGTAAGGTTCATTCTAAGAAGTAAATGGAAATGGGCTGAGCATGTAGCAAGGTATTCCAGTAATAGGTAGACATTAATAACAATGGAAGGGCAACCTAGGACAGGGAAAAGATGTAAAGGAAGTGAAAAGAGAAGATAGAGGGATGATATAGTGGCGGAAGTAGGAATCAGATGGATACAGTATGCTAAGAATAGGAAATATTGGACTGGTCTAATGGAGAGCTACATCCAACGAAGGATGACTGCAGCTTAGATAGATAGATACGTTTAATGTACTGATTATAGGTTTTGCTTTCATACCTAATCATACTTTTGCATTTCCTGGCGTTTTATATGTGAAACACTTTCATTTCTATAATTAATATATATATAACATCCTGGAAAGGATGCTTATTTAAATCTTTATCTTTATATTGCTAAAGTTTAAAGGATTATAAAGTAGATTGTAAGTTTAATGTTCACCGTACTTAACTAGTGATGATCAGCTTTTGTATGTCACTGAAATTAAAAGCTAGAAAACATGATTAATTTGTTTGTTTGTTTTTTTAATTTTGTGCAAAGCTACACGAGAGCTATCTGCACTAGCCGTTCCTAATTTAGTAGTGAAAGACTAAAGGGAAGGCAGCTACTCATCATCACCCACTGTCAACTCTTGGGCTACTCGTTTACCAATGAATAGTGGGATTGACCATAACATTATAATGTCCCCACAGCTGAAAGGGCGAGCATGTTTGGCGGGACGGGGATTCGAACGTGCGACCCTCAGATTGCGAGTCAAGCGCCCTACCCACCTGGATTGCCGGGCCTATGATTGATTTATAAAGTTTGAAAAAAAAATATGTACTTTCTTGTAGACAATGTCTTTTAACGTAAGAAACAACAAATTGAAATATTTTTTTAAATCATTTTTATTGTTATCACACTTAATTTACAGATTTTTGTTCTTAGAATCTTCAAATGTAGGATACATGAACGTTATTTTTGATAAATATTGCATAAAGTCGCCTTTCTTTACAGTACCCCTAAAAGTTTTATTGATAGGACCTGATAGACTTAACTATACGTAAGTGAAAACTATAAAGTAACATGGGTAAAATGAAATATTTTGTCAAGAACAATAAAAATTATAGTTATATGGTTAGATAAATAGTATATTTAAACCATAAAGTCAAACTAGCGAAACAGTCCTGATATTTAGAGATGTTAGGACGAAAAATCCACCCTCTTCAAAAAATGCAAAAGGTATGATTAGTTATTGAAGCGACAACTATAATTAGTATGTTAACTGTAATAGTAGCACTATCCAGTTTTACAAACAGAGAAAAGTATCTCATGCGAGTTAAATATAGAAACGGAAACTTTAGAACTGATGAATTAGTGAAATGTTTTATGCATAAGAATGGATAAAAGTATGTAAAGTAAATTATTGGCTATAATACTTTTTTCGTTCAAATGATGGATGATATATGTATGATAAATATTGACATGTGTAACAGTGTTATAATTCTCGTTTCGTTAAATTAATAGCTTTACTTGTAACTTTTAGAACATAATTAAATCTAGACATTCATGAAATAATCACACGTTGAAACACTCTATGGTGAGATAATCATGGCGGCCTAGCAACACGACACGATTTTTGGACAACTTGCGCCTGTCATGACGCTCTAGCAACGCGACCTCTGGTTCCACATCGTGGAACTATAACGTAATCTTCTCTGGTGCATGGCAATATGACATCATCTTCTCTACCCCTTTCCCCTCCCTATCACCTTGAGTCCACACACGTGTGTCTCCCCACGACGACGTCCCGCTCAACGGGCCCGAAAACTGTTGGCGAAGTTTTCGATACAATGATTTTTTTTCAAAATTTATTAAAAACTTCAGACGATTGGTTTCGGTATATGGTTACCACCACCAGTCCAGCTGATGGTAATTTTGTTACAGAAACTCGTCGGCACAAGTCATCAATAATAATAATCATAATATAATATTTTCAATTGTGCCAAGACATTTTCGTTTCTTAGGCCTGGTATGGATTGATAGTTAGGACGTTTGACACATAATCCGTGGGTCTTGGGTTCGAATCGTCGTCACCGAACATCCTTGCCCTTTAAAGTTGCTATTATGGCCAGTTATCCGAGTATAAATATTCATGGCTAATACAAAATACCCGAGAGGCCGACCCCAAATCTATATGGAATTAAGATAGAATGAAGAAGAAATTGTCGTTTCTTCTATTTATTTATATAATATAGTAATGTTTATTTATGCTGCTATGTTATGTATAATTACATGTCTAACAAAAGTCGATGAAATTCTTAGTATTATTCATTTCTTTTTAATAATAGCCATGTTTGGTTGCGAAACGTCTTTATGATTTGGCTGAATGCTTTTCAAATTGCATATCTCAAGATAAACTCATGATCAACAAATAGCTTCATGAAAACTTGAGGTTCAAAAAAGGTGTACATTTAAAATGTTCACAAAATGGACAGGGGATGTTGTTAGCCCTAATGCTTACTAGGGAAGAACAAAATAATTTTATTATGGGCGTCGTTATTTGTGTATATTTTCTATAATTACAATTACCTAGAAAAAGTAGATAACAAGTACTTTATCTAAAGTTGTTTGATATTTAAGCATTTGGTTTTTGACTCATCCATTATCGTGATAGCAAGTGATCCCTTGTTTCTTTCAATCTTGTTTTGTAATCTCTCAGAATCTATTTATTTAAGTTCCCGTTTTTTAAGTATCAAAACTCAATTGTTTATGTTTTCTTTATTCAAACTGATAATTTATTTTTATCGATGTTATACTATTATTTAGTTTTATTTGATGCAGTTAAGTAGCGTTACGGATTTGTATTTTGTTTAAGCTGAGTGGAGAAAGCCGGCGTGCTATAATGGTTAGGGTCTGAGGTTCGAGATGTGATGCTACCGAGCAAGCACCTCACTGTTAGCTTGGAGTACTTTATAAAAGTACCCATAAATCTTGTTATTTAGTTCGAAAAGCCGAACAGAAGTCTTGTAGCAACGGATGTTACTAACTCCCTGTCTATCGTCTGATCAATAGGTCAAATTTACAAACACCTATATCTAAATCCCAGGGTTCTCTGACTTGAACGTTTAGTTAGGCATAAGCTGACTTTCAGATTTAAATTTTCCAATTCTAACTGAATATGGTTTGTTTATTTTGTTTTTATTGGTTGAGTTAAGTGCATGTCTATTTTTTATTTTGTTTGATTAAGCTTAATATATCATTATACCTATTTAGAATTAAGAATTAGATTTTTGTTAAATGCATTTCAGTTGATTTGTTTGTACTCGTACATGAATTTTGTTTTTGTTTGTGCATTATAAAAGTGCTATTCAATCCTATCATTTGGTTCGGAAAGCTGCACAGGACTCTTGTAGCGACGAGTGCTGCTGTGAGACTGCTTTTCATGAGGTTATGGTTTATTCTATTTCGTTAGAATTTTTTTCTTTTCTTCCACACACACGATTCTGACTCTGTTTCTTTTTATTAGTCTAGGATTATACCTGTCATCATTGTGGTACTCACAGGGGTCCTCATCTTGGTTTATTCATCCAGTCTTAATGGAAAAATACCGCACAGTTCAATGTCCTTATTTTTGAATAAATAGAGATTTCGAACAGAATAGCTAAAGCGCGTATAGATAACATGGTGACGAAACTAAAGATTTCTCGTTTTAAAACTATTAACCAAGGCGTTATTTAACACATATTTAACAAAATTGTAAAGCTTAAAGGTGTGACAGGATCAATAATTGCTTATAAATAAAAAGTTCACACTTTTTTTACTGACATTTAACCGTTTCTTTCTCTAAACGCGGTTACTTTACCTTTATAATTATTAACGCCTGTAACAAAGCAAAATCCATCTCCAGTAACATTTCATTAATTTCACAAGAACAACATTAACTATATCATTTTATAATACCCTATCATCCCATAGTTTCACATTTGATATTTTTAATATTTTACAGAACGACCCTATAACTAAGGATATTCTCCCTAACCGACCTACTGTTGCCTACATAACTCACGTCTCCAACCGACCTACTGTTGTCTACATAACTCACGCCTCCAACCGACCTACTGTTGCCTACATAACTCACGTCTCCAACCGACCTACTGTTGTCTACATAACTCACGCCTCCAACCGACCTACTGTTGTCTACATATCTCACGTCTCCAACCGACCTACTGTTGTCTACATAACTCACGCCTCCAACCGACCTACTGTTGCCTACATAACTCACGTCTCCAACCGACCTACTGTTGTCTACATAACTCACGCCTCCAACCGACCTACTGTTGCCTACACTTATAACCCACACCTTCATGATATCCTTGCACATTCGAACTTATCTGTTGATAACAACAAAGTCAACACTAGTTCTAGATGTTCTCTATGCAGCCCTTCTTGTTGCATAAGTTATGCTCACATCGATAGCCATTCTTTCATTGTTGGGACTATGAGTCAATACTATATAACCAACTCTGATATACAAATGAAAGTAACTTGTGTCACATCTTGTACATTGATGAGACGGGACGCATGGTTGGTAGACGATTCAGAGAATATCGTCGTCACATAATTAAATGTAACACCGACAAACACGTTTCCCTACATTTTAATAGCAAAAAACCACGACCTTTCACATCTTCTTGTGTAGTACTATGGTCTGCTCCAAAGAACAAACAAATGCGGAAAGTGAAGGACATTGTTTCATTTTCAGTTTAGGCACTTTATCCCCTAGTGGCCAAAACGAAAAATAGTATTTTATTTTCGACTATCTGTATATTTATTTTTCCCAATTATACTGTTAGAGACGCTTCCTGTACACTTGTTAACGTGCGTATATTGAAAGTTGTACAATTGTTCTGTTTTTGAGATTAACATTTTTGAAGAAGGGCTAAGGCCCGAAACATCAACAGTATTACCATCATTTGTCGTGTCATGTAGTTAATTATTCTATCTTTTAAATATCTTAAACATTTTTTTATGTTAGTCTAAAACGACTTTTCATCATTCTAGCCTAGATCTTTAACTAGCATTGTTGAGTAATAATTGATCAAATATGTGATTAGTGTAGCTATGAAAGTCTTAAATGGTGCTTTACGAGTAATATTTGTATTATCTTATATAATTTTTTTTAGAATGTCCCTCAGGTTACGAACTGTTTAATTCTATGTGCTACAAAATCCACGACTCTCCAAAACAAACCTTTAATGATAGTCAACTATACTGTAAGAATGCAAAAGGGATGTTGGCTAGGATTCCAGATAATCAAGTCTGGCAGTATCTTTACAATGAGTTACCCAAGAAAGACATCTCCTATTGGATTGGCATGACGGACGAGGCTGAAGAAGGTGTATGGCGTTATGTTGATGGTAACAAAGTTCCACAGTCTTTCTTCGAAGCGGATCTGTGGGGACCTGGACAACCTGATAATTATGATAACAGTCAACATTGTTGTGATATGGACGTGAATGTTCAACACAAAATCAAAGACGTCCGGTGCTCAGAAACCAAAGGTTTTATCTGTGAAATTATACCTAATGTAATAAAAGGTGGGTATCTGTTTTCATATTATTTTAAAGAAATATTCACAGCGGCTTCGTCAACGTAAAATACTGGTTACTCTAAAAGTGTAATATTGTTTTATTTACTTATAACTTTGTTTTTATACAAGATAATATTATGTTATTCTTATTTATTCTCCAAAAGTGTTCTGCAAAAATAAGTTTTTTTTATTATTATTCCAAACCTGTACTAGGTCGCTTTTCTTAATTTATTTTGTGCTGCTAGCACTAGTAGAAAAGTAATAATCCATAATATTTATATATATAATTTGCTATTTTCTACAAACATTTCATAATATATTGGCTAGCCACATTGTTAGGAATTCAAACAAAATCAAACTGAATCAATTTTTTTCACAACAATAATAGCCTTGATTTCGTGTGGAATAAACTCTACAAAATGTCAAGAAGTTTCTTGGTCTTCACTAAGGAAAGTTGTTTACAATTAGCTCATAACGAGGATTACGGTGGAGAATATTACATTGAAGCTCATCCCAAAGATAATCTATCGGGATGAGATCTGGTTATTATGCTGGCTAAGGAGGATTATTCAAATCACTATATTGCTTTTCGAACTGATTTTGGACAGTAAGAGACTGGTGAATTGTCTTACAAAAGCCTTTGTCTATCAACTGGTAGTGTATCAATAGATTACGCCACACATTTCTAGCTTGTATCAGTCTACAGCTTCAAGTCTAAGCACACTGAAACTGTTCTTTCTTCCTTGCATCCAATAAAAACTGTTTTTGGCAAATATGTAGCATTTTTTCTATTGTACTGTAGATAGTGAAAACCTTGCTACAGTTGAGGTAATTGCTTATTTTATTCAAAATTTGATACCTCTTGTGTCTTACAAACCTGTCCAACTGCCTTTTCCCTCTGTCAAATAACAAAATATGGCTGTTATATTATGTTTCATAGTGACTGATGTATTAATGTTTGATTGACACTGTTAACAGACTATGAAGACAGCTGATTTTAAATACCTTGTTAAATAAACAACCTTTCATAAAGGCATTATTTCTAGAAAAGTTTCAATTATGATGCCCCTATGAAAATCGAAGAGATCCTTTTTCTTATCCACTTTCTTCCAGATTAAGAATAACGTGACTACATATCTGCATTTAAAAGACCCAAACAATCTCCTGACTTATCATATACCCATTATTTTTTGCAAATAAAAGGAGTAAATTCCTAATAAAAGACCTATCAGTGAATAAGATTCATGACTTAAATAGAGCAAATGTTGTAAACGCTTTTTGAAATATGTTCATTTGGAGAATGTATAAAACAACAACCAGTTGTCCTACTAATTTATTTCATTAGCAAAATGGTTAAAAAAGAACTAAGAAATAGAAAAATAGTCGAATTATATTTATTTACACAATGTAAAATAAAGATATTGTATGTAAAGGTATTGAAGACTATGGTGTGAGATGATTTATCAGAGAGTCTTATTTGGTTTCTTCTGTAAGTTTAGAGTGTATGGTAAGATCCTGAGAGCTCAAGAAACAGGATTTATTTAGAAATTTAGATAAGTCGTCATAAACTAGGTTAAAACATGAAATCTAAAAACGTGGAGCCAGATAAGTGAGCATAAGCTGCCGTTTTGTTTGGACCTGCTAACCTTTTCGCTTTATGTCTTTGAACTTATTTCAAATCCAGATATGATTAATTTCTCATAATTTCTCATAAATATTTAAATTGAGTGGAAGTTTTACTGTTTTGAATAGTGCGTGCAAAAAGTGGCGTTAATAGATATTAGAATAAAAAATAAATTGAATCGTTTGGAAACTAAATAAAAAACAATAAATTGCCAACCGAAACATATCATGTGTATTTTGCAAGTATTTTCTAGAATTGGAAACTCAAAATTTAAAAATTACAATACATATATGAAATATAAACTCAAAAACATTTATATTCTTTTTATCCCAGCAAAAGTCAAACCGTTTCAGACTTTTGTGAATGGTGTCAAGTGTTTCGAATATGTACTCCTAGATGTTCATAAAATATAACATCAACCCTTGAATATTAGCATCTAAAACGGGCGTAGAACATTGTCATCGTAACTTCGATCTTTGAAGATTAGCATTTGAAAAGGTGTAGATGAATATGACCTCAACCCTTGAAGATTAGCACAAAAAAAGGGTAGAATATTGTTCATTATGACCTCGACCCGGGAAGGTCAACATCTAAAAAAACTTTGAACGTCGTATTACTTCAGTCCTTGAAGGTCAACACTTCGCAAAGTATAAAGCCTCGTTTCATATATGTTCTCGACCCTTGAAGGTTAAGATCAGACAATAAACAACAGCTAGTATGATTCAATTTGTTACAACTGGAATTTCCCAATAAAGCATAAAAACTTTTACAATATAGTCTGTTCAAATTTTTTGGTATTATTTAAATAATTTCATAAATACGTTAATTGAAAATTATTTTAGTAGATTTCTAACTTGACTTTTTCTACCCACAGGCTGCCAGTCGGGAGGAAAAGCGCACAATGGAGTATGTTATTATGTGACGAATTATAAAAAGCCTTTTCTGAGTAGCGAGCAGCTTTGTCAAACTGACTACAGTGGAAGCCTAGTTCCACTTGTGGATACCGAAACTATGCAAATAATCATAAACTTCGCTGACATAAATGGAAAGAGTTCTGAAGATTTATGGGTAGGCCTGACGGATGAAGAAACAGAAGGAGAATGGAAGTTTGTGAACGGGTCAGAAACTAAATTTAATCCAGAACTGTGGATGGATATTGAACCAAATGATGGAAATTCAGGAAACGAAGATTGTGTGATCATCGATGATCAGAAACAATATAAGCTTCAGGATACAGATTGTTCATCAGAGCACAGTTTTATATGCGAGAAACTTGAAGTTCTTACTAAAAAAGGTAAGTAAGAGTTTCTTTTGATTCACACAAACTACCTCTCGGATGTATTAATCCATTTCAAAATTAATGTGCTACAAAGATGTCGAAATCAAAGAAACTGTAATGCTGATTTCCTTTTTTTTTCATAAATTCTACACTTTCTTGACTATGTAATTAAATTTAGAATTTGATTGATAACAAGGTGTAGGGCACATTACAACCTTACCGTATAATAAGCTGTAATATTAAAACATAAACTTATGGTATACAAATCACTGATTTCAGATAGACACTAACGAAACCTCTAAAAGTGTTGAAAGATACAATCAGAAAGTCAGGTACCATGCTTTTCCTTTGCACTGTTTAATTTCCATGCTTCTTTTATTTTTACAGTTATTGCACAGGTCCATTTCTCGACGGGTAATATAAGTATCTGCAATACGAATCAACTTCATGATATGTTATGCAAAAAATATAACTATTCGAAATATAACCACAAATGATTGACTACACACAAGCTCTTTATTCGCAGGTATAATGTGCGTGAGTCATACTTTCATTGGTTGGCTTGTTCTGTACTACAGACTAATATTTGGTTGCTGTTCTACACAGAAAAATGCCAAGAATGTTAAAGTTTATGATACCGTACTTTTAATTTCTAATGTATATCCATCAGTCTTAGATTATGTACATTAACGATCAATCCTATCACTCATATTCAATAAAAAATAAAACCCAGGCTCATGCTAAGTTGTTAAATTCTTCTGTGCCACCAATATCCCTGCGTAACGGCCTTCAATACCCGTAAGAGATGATACAATAAGAGAATCAAGAAAATATAAGGCTTTACAGAATGACTATCGTGATATATAATCATTTTCTAATGTTGAGAATTAATGCAAGTTTAAGACCTTTCTCATCCTGTTTACTAATATGTCAACCAACTGAATGCAGAATACAAAACTAGCATAAACATTTTGAAAAATTTACTTAAATATACTTGAATAAGCATAATTATTTTCTGTATAGTTAAGGGAGGGTGAAAAATAAGGGAGGGTTTCTTATTGCAACACATTCATTGCAAATGTAGTTAATAAAAGCTTTAAACCTAGCACAATGTACTGTGGCTAAATAAGCCTTCTGAAATATTACATATTAGATTATGTAATATTATTTCGAAACAGCATACTAAGCCAAAAACTTGTCATATGTAAACATAATTCCTGCTTAAAAAGAACATTTTATCTTATAGACCGTGCGAACTTTACACCGAGTGGTACTTTCAGATAAGCCTAATTCCTCTCACAACGGCAAGAATAGTCCGCTAATAACAGGAGATTAGAGAGGATCATTACTGCGAAGTAAGTCTATGTTATTTGGCTACTGAAATCGTGATAAATAAAGAAAGCCTACACACAAGTGTACAATTAAAGCGAATAATTTTTATTTATGATAAACAGTTAAAATGTGTACTTAATTTACCACAATAGACAAATTGCCTTTACTGGAGAGTTGGTAATAAATTGGTGGTAAGATATAGTTCCAAACTGTATCTTTCAAGATCGTTCCAGAATGCAAAAGCTGAGCTCTTGTTCCAGACTGAATAATTCTCACATTAGCTACTGAAACCGTTAACATCTGACTTACCTAGATGAACTAGCGCTTAAACACGTAACTAATCATTCTCCAATGAAATACAGGATTGATCTTTACCTCCAGAGGTCACCTGACCACCAGTGGAAAAGATACATTACTGACTTCACATACAATAGGTCAGCTTATAACTCTTTTTCCTACGAAAAGACAAAAGGGGGATACTTTGTAAAGATAATAATAACAATAATATGCAGTTAAGGGGAAAGGAATTTAACAACATTCTTGACCAATATGGGGTGAAAGCAGCACAAAAAACTAAATTTGGAACTTTCTGTATTAGCACAGGGCGGCACAAAACACACGGTGTGTTTGTACACGACAAGTGCAATCTATCATTTGAAGGTAATTGAGAATTATAGTTCAGTGTGTCTACAGTTAACAACACTGCATAATGTGAACGCAAGTAAGAGAAGACTAAAGTTATATCTATTATGTCAAGAATTTGCTCAGTATATCAACTCGAAATTCAAGACTATCCAGTAGGAGACCTGTAATAAGTCATCCCCTAGTCGTGGTAAGCAAAATGCAACGTCTTGTAACAGGTGAGAATCCAAGAAAAAAAAAGTCAGTTGTAACAGCATACAACATAACCAAGATAGACGTATTTCTGAAAATGTGACACAAGTTACGTGTACAGTGGTTGCTTCCAAAACATATTTATTCAACTGTAGCATACCTCAATCAGCTGTAAGTAGTTAGGGCGCTACACGCGTGTCGCAAAAGGGGGTATAGTAACACCGTCCACCTTCCTAAAACTCATGTAAGATAAAACTATAAAGTATCATGAGTAAAATTAATTATTTTGTCAAGTTGTATAGATAGCATAAAGTCAAACCAGTGACACAGCAAATTTAAATTATTGTATGATATTTAAATAAACGTCTTTTCTCAGGACGATCTACATCTAAACGGTCAGGAAACGTAATTAAATATAGGACTAAAGAATTAGTGTTTTAAACCGATTGTATTAAATCTAGTCGTGTTTAAACACATTGGTACACTTCGTGTACTCCTAGACTGTCATGGCAGTGTAGCAACGCGCCCCTAGCACCTCGCTCTCTCTGGTGCCATCATTCTCACCCCCTATTGACCAAGGTCGACACGCATGTAGCGCCATCTTGTGGCGTGACGCTCGCTCCCGCCCTAACTACTATTATAGAATGAATCGGGTATTTATAATATTCGGTACAAAGCCATACATTTAATTTTGCATGATTTTATTCTACTCAAATGTAATGTTGTGTTTTTATACAAATTACTTTAATTTTCTTCAGATGAAATATTTGTATCGTCCAACTGATGAAGTTTAAAGTTTCATCTATTTAAATGATTTATTATGTGTGTTCAAATGTTTTCTTTTTTTTTTTTGTATAGCATTGTGCTGGGTGTTGTTACTATTTTGCACACTTTTGAACCTAAATATTGTATTTACATTAATTATTACTACATACTGTTCATCAGCACATTTGTATATTTTATATATTGAAAACTCCGAAATTCCATTAAAGGTAGGTGAGACTTTAGGGCCTTTTCTGGAAGGAATTGTGAAAAGTCTACCCGAATAAACACAATTATTTTTTATAGTTATGGAAAGTTGAAATATACCAATTTCTCAATCAAAACACACTCCATTAAAGGTAGGTGAGACTAGGTCTATTCTGGTAGGTGTTGTGAAAATGACACCAATAAGGCGTGATAGTAAGTGAACATGTGTAGAAGTGTAAATGTGTGGTTATGATGGTGATAGGAAGTGTAAATGTGTGGTTATGACGGCGATTATTGTACATATGCAACATGGTTACAGAAAATAGAGTTTATTTTTTTCACTAATGTTTTCTAAAACCTTTCTCGTCTTCTGATGCTTTTCAACTAAGTTGCTTCTTCACACAAGTTACACAACCGCGAAGACCTTTTCTTATAACGTTAAATGATAATCGGTTACAATTTCTTTAGAAGGACTCACCCTCGCGTCTGATTATCTTTTATTGATCATCGAAATCTGTTTTACCACACACAAATTTAAAGTAATGGTTGATTCTAAGGGCAAAGAAATACTCGTGATTATTTTCACTGAACTGCGAAAATTTCTACAAAATACAAATTGATTGATTATGATTTTCGCAAGAACATTTTGTGTTCTTTATGGACTTTCTACGTTTGTGTAAATATTTAAGGTACTTGAAGTAACTGTTTGATTCAGAATAACTTTACTGACGATTCACTGCGGCGACAAAGGCTAAAGTTTGTTTGTAGTTAAACACAAAGCTACACAAAGGGCTATCTGTGCCCACCACGGGTATAGAAACCGGGATTCTAGCGTTGTAAGTCCGCAGACATACCGCCTGGCCAAAGGAGGGTCAAAGGCTAAAGAAGGAAATAAAAACAAAACAAAGAACGGTAAGTAAATTTCACTTCGCACAAAATTTAGATATATATAATTAACTAGTTCCGCTTATTCAAATTTCTGTCGGGTACGAATGATATACAGCACTGAAAAGTAGCATTTAAATACAACTAAATATATTGTAAACCCCAGAGGTATAATAAAATGTAAATTCGAGTCTGTTTGTTCGTTTGTTGTAAAGCATAAAGCTACACAGTGAGCTACCTGTGCTCTTCCTATAACATCTATCGAAATCCGCTTTTTACCGTTATAACTCTTCCGTTGAGCTACCAGGGGGTTAAATGAATATGAAGTCTTAATTTTAAATGATCATGTCAATTAATTGGATACAAATGTTTAGCTTAGACTGCCTTACATGAAAAAAGGCGATTTTATTTAATAATTGGATTATAGAATGCAATAAGAACCTTTCAATATTAAATATGTGAAAATATCAGAGTATCAACCGTTGGTAACTTGTTAACTTTAAAAGCGATTGATATAAAACTTCTTAAGATAAGGCTGAATAGATATGTCAAAATAAAAACTAAGATTTATTTAACTTAAAAAAATATCATAATTCAGTAGAATGTATTTTGTCTGTTTATGTTGTTAGATCATTTTGTTACAGCACTGTTCCTCAACATTGTTATGTTTTGACGTTAAATTGCATTTCAATAATGTTCCCTTAGAATAGCGCTATATGAGCAACACATTATAACGCCCTCACGGCTGAAAGTGTCAAGCATGTTCGGCACAGGTTTCGATCCCGGAACTCGCATCGATGGTCAAGCGTTTTTAAGCGTTTTGGCCATAAATTTTGATAAATGTAGAAACACTTGTAATCATTTGAGTTCTGGTAGTAAATATTAAAATACTTTTGAAGTCGTGTATTCTGTGGAGAAACTGTAATGTACAAGATAAATAAAAAATTGAGAATTTTAAAAATGTAATTCTAGGTAATAGCATGGTATCTCCAGCCTTGTTTGA